AAGACCCAAAGTGGAGCAAAAAGGGTGTCTCAGGTCAAAACGGAAGTCCAACAAACGTAACATATTTAGATTAAAGGCTCTGACTTGGAAAGTCAAGATTGGGAGTGGAATTCTAAATAAAGTGCTCAAGGGACAAGCACAAAGTAATCAATAAATGAGTCTCTAAAAAGGGACACAAAAAGGACTGACACATGGCAAATGTCATGACACATGGAAGTGTCAAAAACAAGTCCAAAAAGGAGTTTGAGAAGGAGTTTGAGATGGAATCCAATATAGACCCAAGATGGAGTCCGAGATAGAGTCCGATATAGACCCAAGATATAGACCAAAGATGGAGGCCAAGATGGAATCCAAGATGGACCCAAGATGTAATCCGAGATGGAGTCCAAGATAGAGTCCCAGATGGACCTAAGATGAAGTCTGAGATGGACCCAAGATGGAGTCCGAGATGGAGTCCGAAATGCATCTTGGGTCCATCTCAGACTCCATCTCGGGTCCAAAGATGGACCTAAGATAGAGTTTGAGATAGACATGAGATGGAGTCTAAGGTTGAGGCTAAGAAAGAGACCGAGATCGAGACCGAGACCAAGACCTAGACCGGGACAAAGATTGACACCAAAATCGAGTCCAAAACCGAGTCTAAGACCTAGTCCAAGACTAAGATTAAGACCGAGTCTAAGTCTGAGTCTGAGTTCGAGTCCAAGTTCAAAAGTGAAAGCCCAAAGCAATTATCTCCCAAACCTGAAGAGGTATGGTGAGCTCCAAAAGTATAATAGGGGGAGGACTCCATTGGAGTTAGTTTGGCAAGGGGAGGCTAATGTGACCAAGAAAGGCTATATCCATGTATTGGGTGATGATAAAACCATTAAGGCATCCAAGGCTAGAGTGAATACGGATAGACAAACAAGGTAGCTTGTGAAGTGTTCAAGAGCCAGTTCTAGCTCCCCTGGGAGATTGAATGGTCAATGCTCTCAATCCAAGTGTGGATGGCACTACCTACATGATATCTAGTTGTAAGCAACCAAAGGAAACGACTCGAGAGACGGTCCATGGGGTTTAGATATAGAGGGAAAGGGCCCATGAACAAGAGTGCACCCTTTTTTCTAATCGGTTAAAGGTCTTGGGATATTTGGGGTTCCTTAGGTTTGAATAGTACTAGGCTTACGGAGGTTGTGAGTGAGACTCCTCCAAGTGGTCGGAGGTGCGGTTAAGTGACTAAAGTAAAATGGAAAAATTAGTCGCTTACAACACCTAATGTGGCTCATTGGAACCTTGTTCTCGCCACATGGCTAAGGCATTTAACGGCGAAAGGTGGGGAAATAATCACAAAGCCTGTGTAGGTCTATAGTGTTTAAAATGTCGTCCCAAATCCTAGACTATGAAAAGGAAAGGAGCAGTCCTTTGATGTAATGACCAAGGATACGGTTACATGGTGAGGAAGTTTTAAAGGACAGTGGGACTTAACAGTCGGGCTTTTGGGGCTTGACTCAGTGGCAATGTTGGTGAACATGGCCATGGATGAAGAGGGACTTAGTGGGGATAAAAGAAGGGACATTAGGGAAGGGTGTTCCTTATGTCTTCAAACATCATAAGGGTTTTAAAGTGTGGTCAATGATGACCATTTATGGATGGATGGCCCAATCTTTAAAGGATGAGATGGTAATGTAGGTGGTCTTGGACTATTGATGTGACAAAGGTGAATGAGTATCACCTTACCATAACGGGCTAATATATCAGTGGTACCTTTGGGTGTTAGTTATGTGATTGAACACATGGAACACTTGGACCAAGTGCAAAAGTTAAGTAACATAGATGTTATTCACGAGGCTAACATGTCCCTAATTCCTGAATAAAACTTATGGAGGGTGTGAGTGAGACTCCTCTAAATGGTCAAAGGTGTAGTTAAGTGATTAAAATAGAATAGAGAACTTAATCATTTACACTTGTCAAAAATATGAAAAAAGAGTGAAGAAGGAAAAGGAGCTTGAGAAATGGCATCAATTATAAAACTCTTTAGGTGATGAAAAACATCAAAATCATATATTTAAAACTTCAAAGCTAACCAAATAGTACGATCAACCAAGTTCTTTTGCTTCAATAATAAAATAACTATAGCATGATCACTTTTTATTAATGTTTGAGAACCATGTAAAGTTTCTCGAAACCCCAAACTACTATTAAACACTTTTCCTCTGTCATGGAGTAGTTCACCTTTGTTAGTTGTAATGTACGATTGATATATGCAATAGGATGGCACTGACAAAGCACACTTAGGATTTTTTGCATTAACACATCTCCAAGATCGATATTAAAAGCATCCATGTGTAAAATAAAAAGTTAAATGTAGTTAGAATACGCCAAAGTTGGAAGAGTCGTCAAGAGCTCTTTAAAATCCATAAATGTTTGCTCACAATCCATGAACTAAATGAAAGATGATGTTAACAATGTCAACAATGCTTGTAATAAAAACTTCATAGTTGACAGGAGCTATGATAAAAGGAGAGTTTTATCCCTTTTGTTTGAGCCACACAAATAAGTAGTTGTCACTCACATCTTCTCCTCTGGCCCAGCCTATGTCACATGCCACTAGCCGGCCCAAACCTCACAAAAATATTTCAAAAGAACACACAAGACGCATGCAAAAAAAACGATACACGGTGAAAAAGCAATATTTACCAAGTTACCTCCCATTAGATGACTGCTATTGGCTAGATCTGGCAGCCCAAAAAGTTTGGCAACTCCTCCTTATTATTACAGATTAAACTTAAATATTCATGATAAATATTTAAAAAGAAATTTTTTTTGTCAATTTTGTCTATGAATTAAAAGTAAATATTCCAAAGGTCATCTTCACTTATAAAGGAAATATAAGTATTAGACTTTTTGGTTTGCTTAAGCAAACTTGTAGGGGGACTGAGATGGTAGTGGATATACCTAGAATATATTTGGATATTTTACAACATTCTACCATCTTATGATTATTATTCATTTAGATTAATCTTGTATTTATAATTTAAAAATATATTTATATTTATAAACTTTCTTAAACACTTTCTAGTATATTCTTTTTTATTCTACCATCTAATGGTTAATATACAATAAGATTAATTTTGTATTTATAAATTATAAACATGCTTCTAATTATAAACTTTTATTTGATCAATTAAGAATAACATTACTATTAAGCAAATCAAGTGTTGCTACATGCAACACGTAGTGATTTATTACACTAGCAATACTGTACTTCATTAACTTGCCATTTCTCCTTTCACACTGGCTCATTAAAATTGAAAGTGTATCCACCCAGACAAACAATCACTCATTCTAATATTTATACTTTGTTGGTAGCTTTAACAACATAATTATATAAGGGGTTATTAGTTATAAATCAACTTTAACAACCAATCAACTTATCAACCCTAATCCATACCTATTTACTTCTTTCTGGAACATTGTTCATTAATGCCTTTAGTACTTTGATATATGAACTTTTAACCATTATAGTTAGAATGTGTTAAGTCCTGGCAAATTGAATCAAGCTCATACATCAAAGAACATTATAAAGTTGGCTTTAAGAAGATAATGATACAAAAAAAATTATGAGCTAAATTCTTTGCAAAGTGTCACAGTTGCAAATGACATCAATATTCAATTCCAATAATTTTCAAATCCACTAATTTTTCAAGAGCTTACATCACACCTTTAAATGCCAACTACAACAAACCAAAAGACGCTCACTAAAGGACAAATGTTCATGAACCTACAAATCTTTAATACATCTATAGTATATTATAACAATTGCATCGAATAAAAAGGCTAAAGAAGAAAAAAAAAAACAATTTTGCAAGTTCAAAGCAAAAGAGGTAATTAATTTTAATAATGGTAAAGTAACGAAATGAAGTGGCATATATGGCTAAAACAAACAGTTAAATTTAGAATTAAAGGAAGTTATAAAAATGGCTGTTAAGAGATTCATGATGAATGATATACTTAAAAAGACTTCATTTCTAATTAAGGCAAAAAAAAAAAAAACTAAAATAATGATGAAGTTTTGGTTGACACTACATAAAAGCTTGGGATGAAAGAAGTAAATCTAGATTTTCTCTTGAACGCCCATTTTTTAATCGGTTAAAAGTTTTAGAGTATTAGGTTGGGTGAAATCTCTAAAATATCTAAATTTATGAGTTTACATTATGAAGATTCAAGCCATGATTCTAGATAGAAATATCATATAAAGTGATTGGTAGCCCATAGCCATTAATTAAATTTCTGCATCATTATTCATTACTAAATGGAATTTATAATTATCTAAGAAAAACTTTTAGTATATTTTATTTTGAAAAAAAAAGTATGAGTGATTCAAAAAATGAACTTAAGAAAATTATATTTTAACTATTTTTTTTTTCATTCCAGAAACTTATTTCTCAAAATTCATAATGGAAATAATGTTTTGTAGTCTTTCTATTTTAGAATTTTGATGTTTTTATACAAAGTTGTTTATGACATACATAATTTAATTATAGAACTTAACCAAAAAATACATAAAACCATACATTAATAATTTTTATCATAAAAGTTCACTAAGTTTTTAAAATAAAAGAAATACAAATGTATATAATCATTTTTTATTACCTTATTTTTAATATAATACGTACTTAGGCATTCTTTGTCACTTTTAAACATTTTTTTTAATATTTAACATTTATTAAGTTTATAAGAAGCATAGCAAAATTTCTAAAGAAAATTTTATATTTGTGGAGAATGTAAGTGTTGTAAGTTGTTCAGTTAAGTTCTTCTTCTATAATGTATCTCAAAAATATTTTTATCTTTGATATTAATAATTTTCATATAATTATGTAAACGTATAATTATAAAAATCTTACCAAAAAGTTTTTCTGACTGGACAAAATTGGTCACTCTTGAAAAGTATTTCAAACAATTTCTACACAAAATATCCCAAAGAGCACTCTAGCCACCACACAAGATGGAGAACTAAAGCCTAGCCAACCTCCTACATTTCCAGGAGTGAGATCTTTCATCATCACAAAGCGCATTCTTCTCTCTTACACTGTTAAGCATATGAAATCAATCACTCGTGCAAGAGTATTGAGCGAAGATAGGCCTTCTTTTCTTCATATGTAGTGTAGAGCGGCTTGGCAACCCCAGATCTCTTGAAAACCTTGTCCAGGAAGTCTCTCAGGTAAGCATGGTCGGAGATTTTGATGAGAGACGTCGACTCCATGAAGGCAAAATATGAAGCTCCGAAAAAAAACTGCATGAAAGAAAGCAAATACTTAAACCTTTCGATGGCAAAGTCCCAATGCGGAAGGCCCTTACCCTTCTCAATTGTTTTGGTCCAAAGCTGAAGCCAGAAGGAACGGGAGTAAATTCGCCAACACCCTGTAGAGCAACTTAGCACACATATACTTTCGTTTCTCGATTGCCACTTACTTGCGACCTTTGGAACGCGTATATAAGTATCAGTGACGCTCTCTGTGGTTTCCAGTGGTCACCAAGCACAAGCCATCTCTACAAGCACGAAAAAGAAAAAGATTGAATCAATTGTCATTTCAAATAAATGACTTACCCGAAAAAAAGGTAAGAGTATGTGGAATGGAACTCTAATTTTCTTCTTAGTGGGATCAGACGGGGGCTTGCAACGCTTTATGCATGCTTGAGACAGCTCTTTGTTCTCTTTGAGAACGTCCTGGAGAAAAACAAAATGTTTCAGAACTAAAAATGTGTCTGCTTGCTTACCATGCATACGGTCCCAGTCTTAGCTGCCTTGTGCAGTTCTTTAAGCCCCGCTGAGATTTGCTCGCTCAAGGTCCGTGCTAAGAAATTGCGAATGAGATGCGTGACCTGTGAAGACGAGCCATTTTCTAGCTATAATGTGCCTTATGAAGCTACCCTTGTTGACAGATGTTGTCTATCGCGCTCTGGTACAAATGGTTCGAATAACGAGGCTGCATAGAAAGCCTGAAAATTAGCGTCGAAGAGAGGGAAACAAAAGGAGTTACATGAGGCAAATTGGATGAGTGCGGGAATAAACTCCACAAGTGAAAGCTGATAAGCTGATGGGCAGTTCGTAGCTTTTAAACCGTCATCGAAACAACTATCGACCACATCCTCTGCAGCCAATCGTTGATAATCAATAATTAATTGGAAATTACATAGAGTAGCTTACCACCAGCTTGATCAATACACAGCTTTGTATCAACAAATATTTCTCGAAATTGCTCCTGGAAAAAGGCTGCTTGTCAACGAATCATGTAAAGCACAATGAAACGAAAACCATACACAATTGAGTACTCCAAAATCCTTGTCCTCGATCTCATCGCCTTTGGCACAGTACCAGATTAAGACCGATTGCACGATTCCTAGACAGCAGCGGCGCTGTACACCAAGTCAATCAAAAAACTGAGGCGTATACGCGGACATACCACAGTCCTTTTCCCAAGTCTCATAATTGATGTTAAGATCTCCGGCAACAGGATACTTCGTCCAGTCTGCCAATCAACCAACACAATGTCAAGTCAGCCTTCACACCCGTCCAAAAAGTACCTATGGAGTCTAGAACACTGTTGGCCCATACGACTCTCTTATCAGGCGGAGGAGGTGGCGGTGGAGGTTCCATAGGAAGAGGATTTCCCTCGCTGTCCACTGCAAACACAAGTCACGCCAACAATACAAGGCCAGCTTAAGCACTGAATTACCAGCTGGGGCCAGTGGAGTTTCTGTTTTTTGTGCAGGTGGGGCTTCGGTAGGAGGAGGTTGACCTTGAGCAGTTTCTACAAAGAGGAAAACCAAAAACAATGAGCAAAAACGTTTTTAAGGAAAAGAAAGAATGCTGACAAACCTGAAGGAGTTTCAGTAAGCTGTTCTAGTTCTTCTGGTTTTTTCTCTTCTTCTTCTTGTTTTTTGGGAAAGAAATCCTTGATGACCGGAGCTGGCTTTCCCTCGTGGTAAACAGTGAAGGACTCGGGCCCTCCTGAAATATGACATCTTAACGTCAGCATGATGAAGGACAGAAAAAACAAACGGCCGATCTTTTACTTGAGCATTCGACTTCCACTTGAGCACCATCTTGTAGAGTCTTGTTGATAATCAAGTCGGGGTGAAACACCTCTCCTCCCTATTAAGCAGTGAAATGAGAAAGAATTTAAAGATCTTACACGACTTACCATGGATCGCACAGCTTGAGGCACATATTTCGCAGGAACATCACCTGAGAGAGGGAAGAAATCCATGAATAACAAAGAATTCTTCCCAAATTCTCGCTTGCCTGTGTTGTAGGCCATGCGCGCACACGCCGCATGCGCGAGCCAGCGCAGTCGCTGGGATCCGAGACCGCAACCCACCGAAACCGTCCATTCCCGGAAATCAAACTCATTGATCCGCTCCTTAAGTAGCACCTGATAGAAATCGATATTCACTCCAGCGAAGAAGAAGAAGAAGAAGAGCAAGAGCGCTTACCTGAACGATCATCCTATTCTACCTTCAGCCTAACCTAGCCCTAAAGTTTCTCGTTATAACGGTTTCGTTTAGGAGTGGTGTGAAAGGCTTCGCTCCTTCTTGATGATCCTCCTTTGAGCGCTCGAGCGATTCCACTCCGGGCGATCGAAGGATGGGGTCTGGAACAGTGGCGCTCGGCGTCTTAGGTAAGAATCCAGTCCCACATTGCGAGATTTCGATCTCATTCCGCGATATTTCGGTGACCTCGCAGGAAATATCACGGCGATGATCATGTTCTTCTCCCCGCTGTAAGCATCGCTTCCAGATCTCTCGTATCTCGGGCTCCATTCCCCTAAATCGATCTTGTTTCTTCGCTGCTTTCCAGGCCGACATTCTCGATCATCTACAAACAAAAGGATACCGGGCGGTTCTCGGCGTTTCCCTATGTGTGTACACTCATGAATTGCTTGCTCTGGTTCTTCTATGGCCTGCCGATCATCAGCGAGAACAACATCCTCGTCCTCACGATCAACGGGGCCGGCATTGTGATTGAGGCGGTTTATCTAGTCATCTTTATCTACTACGCGGCATGGCCTGTCAAGGTACGCTCCATAGCTCGAGTTCTTCTTTGTTTCTCTTTCTTTGCAACTTTGCTTTGTTCTTGAGCTTATGGTTTTCCTACAGACTCAAGTTTTGCGGAGTCTTGTGTTTGTGATCTTCTTTTGTGCGATCACTTTCGCCATCACGCTGGGAGCGTTTGAGGGCGACGACAGGACAACGTTTCTGGGATCAATCAACGTGATAATCAACACGATGATGTATGCAGCACCGCTGTCGGTTATGGTAAAACACTCACAAAAGCTGAGCTTAAGATTCACACAAAACAAACAAACAAGGTGATTAAAACAAATTCTCTGGCGATTTTCTCTCGGTCTTGTGGATCTCGCTCACTTTGCTTCTCTTTCTCCTCTCCAGAAAATGGTGATCGAAACCAAGAGCGTGGAGTACATGCCTTTCATGCTTTCGTTGTGTAGCTTTGTCAACGCTACAATCTGGGCATTGTATGGTATTCTCAAGCAAGACAAGTTCATTATCGTGAGTATCTTCGAGCGTCAATTCCATCTGGAGTTAACTTTTCGTATCGTTTTTCGTTTAGATTCCAAACGGACTGGGAGTGCTTCTAGGCGCACTCCAGCTCGGCCTCTACGCAAAGTACCGTAAATACAAGACGCCTCCGGCCTCACTAACAGAAGGAATCGCTGCCGCGTACACAACCGAGGGAGCAACAGCGACGGACCTCTCGGACATCATAACTCGAGGAACCACAGATCTTTCGGAGGCCATCTCCACCTCGGCAGGCACTGCAGGTAGAATTCTACCTTCTCCTCCCGCGGCAATGCCTGGTGCTCCACCGACGACAGCGGCAGCCAAACACATTCACTCCGAAAGCCTCAAGGTCGAGATCATGGGAGGCAGAAAAGACGAGATCAAACCGAGCCATCGGCTGATGAAGGCACCATCGGCTCCGGATCCAGTCGTCTCCAGGCCTGACTACGCTAGAACAGCGTCAGCTCCAGCTCCGCAGCCTCCTCCATCGACTCAAACTCAAGCTCCAGGCTTGAAGCCAGTTCCAACGTTCAAAGTTTCGCCTCCATCGCCATCGCCACCGCCACCTCCAGAGGAAGCTCAGCAGCCTTCAACAGCGGTAGAAGCGCTAAGTGGTGTAGCCAAAGTTATGGAGGCCGTCAAGGAAGCTCCAAAGACTTTCAAGGACGCGGTGTTGAAGGAAACTCCTCCTCCTCCCGCCGTTCTTCCCAAGATCAAGGAGACCGTCTCCGTGGTCACTCCCAAGATCAAGGAGCTGGCGAGGGAGGTTACGTCCAAGGTTGCTCCATCCGGCAGGGATCAACCGACCAAAGCTCCGGACGAGGTGGCTGACGAGGCGAAAGCCCGGAAAGACCAAGAGGAAGCTTTCGCGAGGATGAAAGCTCAAGAAGAGCAGAAGAGAGCAGACGAGCTGCGGAGGCTCCAGGAGGCTTTTGACGAAGAGGAATACGGGGCTGAATTGGAAACCATCTTTCTGTGATGGAGGGATTTGGGTGATTTAACTTAGCTTGAAGGTTTCTCAGTTTTAAGTAGCTGCATGATTGATTGATGAAATGATTATTTGTGATTCTCACTGCGCTGTTATTCTTTGCAGCCACATCCCAACTTTTTTGAAAGAAAATAATGGTGGCAAATTGATCTTGAATGTACTACAAAAAGTCTCACAACGTGGAAAATATGACCAAGTGAAAAGTGATTTATTTCATCTAGTCATAAATGGCATAAGAGGTCACTACAAACAATGTGTAGTCGGAATTCACTGCTAAAATGTACAAATGAGTTGACAAACTGAGAAGTTATGAAATCTCTTTATATACAACCAAACAATCTTCATAGCCCATGACAAGTGGCATACATTTGAGATAAGGTTGCTAACCTAAGTTCCCACAATCTGAGTGAGAGACCCTTGAGCTATTTGGCTATGGAAGATTTCTTGTGGAAGATTCTATGTTCTTGTGGTGTGTTTTTGGTTGTTTGGCTGCTCGCTCCTGCTGCGAGGAGCCTGTGGCACGCCTGGAGATTCCGCTGCTTCTACGCCAAGCAGGGCATTCCAGGGCCTCCATTCCGATTGATCGTCGGCAACATCCCCGAGATTCACAAGCTCTTCAACTCGGTGCCAAAGTTTGAGACCAGCTTCCACGCCGCGACCAAGTTCAGGGTTATTCCGGACCTTGCTACATTCCAGCAAACTTATGGTATCACTCCTCTCTGTTTGTTGTTTGCTCAACACAAGAAAAAAGAAGTCTTTTCTGGTTCTTGAAGTTCCCTTCATCTGATCGATCACCATATTGTTACAGGGAGAATCTCAGTTCACGAGCTTGGCTCCACGACTCGAATCCTGGTGGCTGATACCGAGCTCGTGAAGCAAGTTCTTATGTCTCGATCCTCTTCCTACATCAAGGCCGATTTGTCTCGCCAGATCCTCAGAGCCGTTGTTGGCAGAGGTGTTGTTGTCACCGACGGAGATTTCTGGAGACAGCAGCGCAAGATTCTCAATCCCGCATTCAAGCTTGCATACTTGAAGGTGATACCCATGAATACAAAATCCGATTTTTCTAATGTTTCTCCGATTCTTCTACAGGGATTGATGCGGCATATGTCTGGTGCTGGAGAAGATCTGGCCAGGAAATGGAGCTCGAGAGAGACGACGAGAATCGATGCTCACAGAGAGATGGCGGCTCTAACCTTGGACGTGATCACAAGAGCGTCGTTTGGAGCAACCATTGGAGGCACCAACACTGGTTACGCTGCTTTCGAGTGCTTGGACAGGCTTCTCTCTACGGGACTGCTCTACCTGAACAGCTACAAGCGGCTTATACCTGGATACAGGTGATCGTTCACGAGCAAAACTTTCGAAAAAAAGTCGATTTTTTCTCTGAAAACTTGGTTGTGATGAAATAGTTTCCTGCCAACACGGGAGAATCTCCACCTCAGGCGCAGTGAGCAATACGTGAACACGCTGCTGCGGGATATAATTCGCAACCGCTGGGCCGAAAAGACCAGAAATCCTGACGAGAACGGCAAGCCTGTGTATGATCTCCTCGACATGATGCTCGAGGCCGTGGAGAACAAGTCGCCAACGATGACAATGGACCAGCTCTTGGACGAGTGCAAGACAATCTTCTTTGCGGGTCACTCCACCACCGCATTGACGCTCACTTGGTCACTGATCATGCTCTCGGTCCACCAGGAGTGGCAGCAGCGTGCCAGGGACGAGATCTTCGCAGCGCACAAACGGTGTGGAGGTCGTGATCTAAGTGCCGAAGATCTCTCAAGCCTCGAAGTTGTAAGTTCTCTATAGCGTTCTTGCAGCTCCATTTTACTAAATCTCCTGTTTGATCTGAAGGTTGGCTGGATCATCCACGAGGTTCTTCGACTCTTCCCTCCGGTTTCGACCGTGACGAGACAGTGCCATCAAGCCCACGAAATCGGGGAGTTCTCCATACTTCCGGGAACTCTAGTCTTGTGTCCGCTGGCTCTGCTGCTCCAAAGCAAAGAAGATTGGGGGGACGATGTCTCCGAGTTTAATCCCGAGCGTTTCATCAACAAGAAAACCAAGGACATATCCGAGTTCGTGGCTTTCGGAGCGGGGCCGCGGATGTGTCTTGGCATGAACTTTGCATTGATCGAGGCAAGGCTGCTCCTCTCGCTGCTGCTCGCCAAGTTTTCCTTCACGCTCGCTGAGGATTACGTCCACGCTCCCGGAAGTCCTGTCAGTATGAAACCAGTATATGGTGCTCCTCTACTTGTGAAGAAGCTGTAGAAAAAGATCTGGAAAACTTTATCTGGAACGATTTGCCAAGCTTTAAGGTTTTGAGAAGGTTTATACTTGTGGTTGCCCTATATCCATCTGTTGGGCGATTGAAGGAGAGGGATGGCTTGCGTATCTCTGTCTTGGTGAGTGCTTCTTCATGATTTTTCTTCACATTATACAAAGAGAAAAGAGAAGCAAAGATTCAAAGACCATGGCTGTGGTTGTTTCTCTTTTCCTTTTCTTCCTTTCGGGCCTACTTTCATGTGTGTCTCTTTTCTTTATTTTTTCTTTTTTTCGGGGACGATCCTGGTTGGTTGATTTGACGTTGCTGTCATGGCCGCTTCAACCCCACCACCACCTCCGCCGCCCCCACCACCACCGCTGCTGCCGCCGCCGCCGCCACCGGCTGCTGCTCAATTTCTCGTGGCTTCCACAGAGAAGGTGGAGAAATTCAGTGGCACGAATTTCTTCACATGGGCGACAAGAATCAGGCTGATCCTCTCTGCGAAACGAGCGTGGAACATCGTTGATAGGACTGAGCCTCGTCCCGCTGAGCAGACGCTACAATCAGATTGGGATTTTCGCAATCAGCAAGCCATCACCGTCATTGGCTTGGGATTGAGCGATGAATTCTTGCCGCTGATTGATCTCACCAAGACCGCTACTGAAATCTGGACGTCGCTTCGCACGATCTCCAGATTTTCTCTCGGTCTTGTGGATCTCACTCACTTCACTTCTCTTTCTCCTCTCCAGAAAATGGTGATCGAAACCAAGAGCGTGGAATACATGCCTTTCATGCTCTCGTTGTGTTGACAAAGCTACAATCTGGGCATTGTATGGTATTCTCAAGCAAGACAAGTTCATTATCGTGAGTATCTTCGAGCGTTAACTCCATCTGGAGCTAACATTTCGTATCGTTTTTCGTTTAGATTCCAAACGGACTGGGAGTGCTTCTAGGTGCACTCCAGCTCGGCCTCTACGCAAAGTACCGTAAATACAAGACGCCTCCGGCCTCACTAACAGAGGGAATCGCTGCCGCGTACACAACCGAGGGAGCAACAGCGACGGACCTCTCGGACATCATAACTCGAGGAACCACAGATCTTTCGGAGGCCATCTCCAAAGGAGCAACCTCGGCAGGCACTGCAGGTAGAATTCTACCGTCTCCTCCTGCGGAAATGCCTGGTGCTCCACCGACGACAGCGGCAGCCAAACACGTTCACTCCGAAAGCCTCAAGGTCGAGATCATGGGAGGCAGAAAAGACGAGATCAAACCGAGCCATCGTCTGATGAAGGCACCATCGGCTCCGGATCCAGTCGTCTCCAGGCCTGACTACGCTAGAACAGCGTCAGCTCCAGCTCCGCAGCCTCCTCCATCGACTCAAACTCAAGCTCCAGGCTTGAAGCCAGTTCCAACGTTCAAAGTTTCGCCTCCATCGCCACCGCCACCGCCACCGCCACCTCCAGAGGAAGCTCAGCAGCCTTCAACAGCGGTGGAAGCTCTAAGTGGTGTAGCCAAAGTTATAGAGGCCGTCAAGGAAGCTCCAAAGACTTTCAAGGACGCGGTGTTGAAGGAAACTCCTCCTCCTCCCGCCGTTCTTCCCAAGATCAAGGAGACCGTCTCCGTGGTCACTCCCAAGATCAAGGAGCTGGCGAGGGAGGTTACGTCCAAGGTTGCTCCGTCCGGCAGGGATCAACCGACCAAAGCTCCGGACGAGGTGGCTGACGAGGCGAAAGCCCGGAAAGACCAAGAGGAAGCTTTCGCGAGGATGAAAGTTCAAGAAGAGCAGAAGAGAGCAGACGAGCTGCGGAGGCTCCAGGAGGCTTTTGACGAAGAGGAATACGGGGCTGAATTGGAGACCATCTTTCTGTGATGGAGGGATTTGGGTGATTTAACTTAGCTTGAAGGTTTCTCAGTTTTAAGTAGCTGCATGATTGATTGATGAAATGATTTTTTGTGATTCTCACAGCACTGTTCTTCTTTGCAGACATATCCCAACTTTTTTGAAAGAAAATAATGGTGGCAAATTGATCTTGAATGTACTACGAAAAGTCTCACAACGTGGAAAATATGACAAGTGAAAAGTGATCTATTTCATCTAGTCATAAATGGCATAAGAGGTCACTACAAACAATGTGTAGTTGGAATTCACTGCTAAAATGTACAAATGAGTTGACAAACTGAGAAGTTATGAAATCTCTTTATATACAACCAAACATAGCCCATGACAAGTGGCATACATTTGAGATAAGGTTGCTAACCTAAGTTCCCACAATCTAACTATTTGGCTATGGAAGATTTCTTGTGGAAGATTCTATGTTCTTGTGGTGTGTTTTTGGTTGTTTGGCTGCTCGCTCCTGCTGCGAGGAGCCTGTGGCACGCCTGGAGATTCCGCTGCTTCTACGCCAAGCAGGGCATTCCAGGGCCTCCATTCCGATTGATCGTCGGCAACATCCCCGAGATTCACAAGCTCTTCAACTCGGTGCCAAAGTTTGAGACCAGCTTCCACGCCGCGACCAAGTTCAGGGTTATTCCGGACCTTGCTACATTCCAGCAAACTTATGGTATCACTCCTCTCTGTTTGTTGTTTGCTCAACACAAGAAAAAAGAAGTCTTTTCTGGTTCTTGAAGTTCCCTTCATCTGATCGATCACCATATTGTTACAGGGAGAATCTCAGTTCACGAGCTTGGCTCCACGACTCGAATCCTGGTGGCTGATACCGAGCTCGTGAAGCAAGTTCTTATGTCTCGATCCTCTTCCTACATCAAGGCCGATTTGTCTCGCCAGATCCTCAGAGCCGTTGTTGGCAGAGGTGTTGTTGTCACCGACGGAGATTTCTGGAGACAGCAGCGCAAAATTCTCAATCCCGCATTCAAGCTTGCATACTTGAAGGTGATACCCATGAATACAAAATCCGATTTTTCTAATGTTTCTCCGATTCTTCTACAGGGATTGATGCGGCATATGTCTGGTGCTGGAGAAGATCTGGCCAGGAAATGGAGCTCGAGAGAGACGACGAGAATCGATGCTCACAGAGAGATGGCGGCTCTAACCTTGGACGTGATCACAAGAGCGTCGTTTGGAGCAACCATTGGAGGCACCAACACTGGTTACGCTGCTTTCGAGTGCTTGGACAGGCTTCTCTCTACGGGACTGCTCTACATGAACAGCTACAAGCGGCTTATACCTGGATACAGGTGATCGTTCACGAGCAAAACTTTCGAAAAAAAGTCGATTTTTTCTCTGAAAACTTGGTTGTGATGAAATAGTTTCCTGCCAACACGGGAGAATCTCCACCTCCGGCGCAGTGAGCAATACGTGAACACGCTGCTGCGAGATATAATTCGCAACCGCTGGGCCGAAAAGACCAGAAATCCTGACGAGAACGGCAAGCCTGTGTATGATCTCCTCGACATGATGCTCGAGGCCGTGGAGAACAAGTCGCCAACGATGACAATGGACCAGCTCCTGGACGAGTGCAAGACAATCTTCTTTGCGGGTCACTCCACCACCGCATTGACGCTCACTTGGTCACTGATCATGCTCTCGGTCCACCAGGAGTGGCAGCAGCGTGCCAGGGACGAGATCTTCGCAGCGCACAAACGGTGTGGAGGTCGTGATCTAAGTGCCGAAGATCTCTCAAGCCTCGAAGTTGTAAGTTCTCTATAGTGTTCTTGCAGCTCCATTTTACTAAATCTCCTGTTTGATCTGAAGGTTGGCTGGATCATCCACGAGGTTCTTCGACTCTTCCCTCCGGCTTCGACCGTGACGAGACAGTGCCATCAAGCCCACGAAATCGGGGAGTTCTCCATACTTCCGGGAACTCTAGTCTTGTGTCCACTGGCTCTGCTGCTCCAAAGCAAAGAAGATTGGGGGGACGATGTCTCCGAGTTTAATCCCGAGCGTTTCATCAACAAGAAAACCAAGGACATATCCGAGTTCATGGCTTTCGGAGCGGGGCCGCGGATGTGTCTCGGCATGAACTTCGCATTGATCGAGGCAAGGCTGCTCCTCTCGCTGCTGCTCGCCAAGTTTTCCTTCACGCTCGCTGAGGATTACGTCCACGCTCCCGGAAGTCCTGTCAGTATGAAACCAGTATATGGTGCTCCTCTACTTGTGAAGAAGCTGTAGAAAAAGATCTGGAAAACTTTATCTGGAAAGATTTGCCAAGCTTTAAGGTTTTGAGAAGGTTTATGTTGTGTGGTGTTTGCCCTATATCCATCTGTTGGGCGATTGAAGAAGAGGGATGGCTTGCGTATCTCTGTCTTGGTGAGTGCTCCTTCATGATTTTTCTTCGCATTATACAAAGAGAAAAGAGAAACAAAGATTCAAAGACCATGGCTGTGGTTGTTTCTCTTTTCCTTTTCTTCCTTTCGGGTCTTCATGCGTATCTCACAGTCTCTTTTCTTTATTTTTTCTTTTTTGTCTTTTTTTTTTTCGAAGCTTGAGCCAAGCGTCTCTGTCCGGTTCACGGGGTTCCACTCCCACAAAGAATCCAATCATCTTACGCTCCGATGAAAGCAGCTCTAGCAGACGGTAATGATCGTGTCACTGTGGATTTTTGTTCTCTTTTGATCTTGTTGTCTTGCAATTGATTTGATTGATTGGTGTTCTTGTTCTATAGAACTTTGCTGCTTCAGTCGAGCGGATTGGCATCTCTGGCTGCTATTTTCAACTTCAGGTATTCATCTTTTGTTCATCTTTCGATGAGAGGCTAGAAAAAATTTCCAAAAACCCAGTGGAACACGACCTGACTATCTTGGAGTACAAAAAAATCCGCCGTCCCTTGCGCTGTGCCCTCCAACTCCGAATTGCATTTCAACCTCTGAAGAAGCAAACGATCCATCTCACTACGTACCTCCGTGGTAATAAAATCAACTCTTTTTTTTTCCTTTTTTCTTGGCTTATGGGAAACGTGGTGACAGGACGTATAATCCAGAAGATGGACGTGGAAGAAAAAACCCCGCCACCAGAGAGCAGGCCATGAAAGAGCTTCTCGCTGTTGTAAGCTTCTAAGAATTGTTTTTTGTTCAAAAATTCTATTTTTTCTTTCAGATATCTTCAACCAAGCCGGAAAACTATACTCCAAACATCGTCAAGAACACTGACGATTACGTCTACGTTGAGTATCAATCTCCCTATCTGGGTGTAAGTTTTTTTTCTTTTTTTTTCTCGGAGTTTGGTTTCACGCTATAATTTTATTTTTTTTTCCTTCCAGTTTGTAGACGATGTCGAGTTTTGGTTCCCGCCTGGGAATCGATCGCTGGTTGAGTACAGGTCGGCTTCTCGCGTGGGATCGTCGGATTTCGATGCTAATCGCAAGAGAATCAGAGTAAGCGCACTCTTCTATTAGTTTGGTGGAAATCTAGTTTTGTGGACTAACTTGAAGAACACCTCACAGGCTTTGCGAAAGGCGCTGGAGAAGAAAGGCTGGCAATCGATTGGCTTCTAAGAATATAAAACTTCCAAACCTCCGCGACCACTGCTCCAAATGGCGCGACCAACTTTCCGCAATAATTTACTCCACAGCTGATCTCTCCCAATGATTCTGTGCTTTTGGAACTTTACTGTTTCCTGCACTGACTCAATCAAACGTAGTCTCCAGCGATCCATATCCAAACTTGTGACAATTAAAATCTCTCAATCTCTCTTTTCCTTCCTTATGTTTCTTCTTCTCTGCGCCGTGTCGGTGGCTTTCCAGATTTTTTCTCGACAGAAACAGTGAAAAAAATAAATATCACGAAGAAAACAACGAAACATGGCAGGCATTGATATATAAGCATACACATCACAAACCACGACAGGCATTGGTTTAGTGGATAGAAAAATTTGGCATAAGATTGCACGTCCACTTCGCATAAATTAGAGCCCCTCCAACGGCCATGGGATCAGTCCGTACTTCTGCGAGCAGAGAGAATTGAGCCGTCCGTACAGGACCACACACGCGGCAAGACGCGAGCCCCTTTGGTATATTCGCTGGCCGTGTGGATTGAGGAAGGCTAGCTTAGTATTTTCCTCCTCGTCGCGAGAGAGAGAGAGAGAGAGAGAGAGAGAGAGCGCGCGAGCTCCAGGGATATGGCGCTCACATTGGCGCCTGGCGGGAGGGCGCGGCCATCGAATTTAGATCCGCTGCTCAGGTAGGAGCGAAGAATCCGCTGGGGTTTTTCTAGCTTTTAGTGCTGCCGATCGATATTTCCGGGCTTCCGGGAGAAATGCGGGCGCTGTGAAGCTGGGAGCGTGATTCGTGCCCAGTAAGGCGGGATTTCGCGGCCGGTGGCAAGGCGGATCGATGGGATTGCTCACGGGGTTGCTTTTCGGGGTAATAGTCGGGATAGGATTGGTAGCAGGATGGTGCTTTGCAATGCGCTGCCGGAGCAAGCAACGTATCGCCAAGGTTTGTTTCGTTTGGCTGGAGTAGCAAATTTATGCGCTATCTTCTTTTCTTCCAGGCTGCGAATATCAAGCTACTAGGGAAAATGTCTCAAGACGAAGTGAAGAAACTTCTATACGATGCCTTCCCCCCGTGGGTGATCTTTCCAGAGTTTGAGCGCGTAAGTGGATTTCTAGTAGCGATAGTTTCTTGTCTTTAGGCCTCGCTTCTAAACTTTTCTCGTCGCAGGTGAAATGGATGAACAAGCAACTCGAGAAAGTCTGGCCTTACGTTGCAGGAGTAAGTTGGTCCTTCCTTCGTCTCTATCTGAGTCTTAAACTATATGTTTGTTTTCCAGGCCGCACAAGAGATCATCCGGGAGTCCGTGGAGCCGGTTCTGGAGCAATACCGGCCGATTGGCATTTCTTCTTTGAAATTTGACAAGCTCTCCCTCGGACGCCTGCCACCGCAAATCGAAGGTGACTCGTGACTTTGTATCGTTTGGTTTTTAGAAAACTGGATGCAGGCATAAGGATCCAGACGCTAAAACCGGGTCAAATCACGATGGACATGGACTTTCGTTGGAATGGCGATGCAAGTATCATTCTGGGGATTCAGACACTCGTCGGAGCCAGCTTACCTGTACAGGTATGGAACGAGATAGAGAAGTTTCACCTCGCACTAAATTTTCTCCTCCTTCGACCAGTTAAAAAACCTCAAATTTTTTGCGACTATTAGAGTGATTTTCCAGCTTTCGGAAAATATACCTTGTATTTCAGCCGTCGTTGTGGCACTGCTAGCCAAGGTAATGTATCCTTGAGTCTCTTTTTTCGCCATCACTGTGTCACGCTCAACTTTTTTTTACCATGCAGCCGAAACCAGAAGTTAAGTACACTCTGAAGGTGATTGGTGGAAGCTTGACAGGAGTTCCTGGCCTCGCAGACATGATAAAGGTTCCGTGCTTCGAGGAAAGCTGCCATTCAAACTTTCGGGGCATTGCTTTTTACAGGATTTGGTCGAGGATGCTATTACGGATCAGTTAGAGTGGCCTCACAGGAGAGTGATACCCATTGGAGGACTTCCTGTTGACATAAGGTACACGTTTCACGTTGCTTTTAACGGCAGTCTTACGTTTTCTTTCGCTTCAGCGACCTCGAGCTGAAACTTCAAGGCCGGCTTACAGTTGGAGTGATAAAGGCCAATTCCTTGAAAAACATGGAAATGTTTGGAAGGTCTGATCCGTATGTGGTTGCGTACGTGCGGCCCCTCTTCAAGTTCAAAACCAAGGTTGTCAATAATAACCTGAATCCCGAGTGGAATGAAGAGTTCAACTTCGATATCGAAGACCATGAGACCCAGCTCCTCACCTTACAGGTACCTGTTACTTTCTTCAGGCTCGAGCTACACATTTCTTGTTGTGTGTAGGTTTATGACGAAGACGTTGGTCAAAAGGATGCTCTGCTGGGAATAGTTTCCTATCGCGTAGCCAAACTTTTGCCAGAGGAAACGAAGGAGGAAGTCCTTGATCTACTTCCATCACTGGACAAGATGAACGTACGCGACAAGAAAGACCGAGGCACCATCACTGTCCGGGTAAGCTATTAGAAACTCAGCTAGCTTTTTTCGGTACCTGGTTTAGCTAAGCCAGCGCTTTCCTCTGTCCGAGCAGCTGAAATACCACGTCTACACGCCGGAGGAACAGAAAGCGGCGATGGAGATGGAGAAGAAGTTCCTGGAAGAGAAGCAAAAGGCAAAAGAGGCTGGAATGATTGGGAGCACGATGGATGCTGTGGGAGGTGGACTGACAAAGGCCGGGAAGTTTGTTGGGAAAACGGTGTCGACCCCGTTTGGAGGAGGCGGCTCGAGGAAGGCTAAAAGTCCTGCTCACGAGAATGGAATCGTGAGGTAATGTGTGACCAAATCTCTCTTCTTTAGCGTCTAACTTTTCAGGCTGAATGGTGTCCATGCGTCGTTTGCAATTTGCTCGACTGCTTTTTGTGTTTTATAGCCACAGACTAGATCATCTTGTCTCGTTTTTTTGTTTTCTCTCTTCTTTTCTCCATTTTCTGTCTGTATATTAACAAAGAAAGATCCCCAGATCCTAGACCTTTTGATAATTGCTGAATTACATTTGGGTTTTTGTTTTTCCTTGTTCAGAGCTGGAGGCCCCATTTCCGTGTCCAAATGGTTCAATCACTGGAAGAAAGGAGGCAAAGTGCAATCTACCATGTAACTATACATATTTTGTGTGAATATTTTTGTGATAGACAAAACAAAACCAAAGCTTGTAGCTTGAAATGTGGGGTTTGACTATGCTTGACTGGAAGGTATGGTCCTCACCGGTGACACCAACTTACATGACCCGATGGCCTTTGACACCTTTGGCCATGCTTGTTGCTGAAATCACAGCATTGACCCACAAAAACACACTAACTGTCTTTTGGAGTGTGCTTACCTTTGCTGCTCTCATAGGCAAATATCCCTTTGAAGGGCAAGTCATCCACTGCAAAGAGACAAAGGTTGGATCACCTGTACCACCCAAAGAACGACACAATGAGGCGTTCCTCTCTATCAAGTTTCTGAACTTAGCGATGAAAACCCTCTTTCTTTTCCCGTCCTTCTGAATGTTCTACAGTCTGAAGTACTTGTACGTTTGTATTACCTTCTGTTCTTGTTTCGCTGTCTCTAGTGGGGCATGTTTCATAGAAAACTTCTGATGCATCGCAATCATCCACCTTTGAATGTCTCCATGCACAAAGAGCGAAAAGAGGAGAGAGGGAGATAGACGAGGAAGAACAGATAGCCATGCCTTGGATATCTCAATCAATCTGGAACTTCACAACTGCCATAGAGCTGTGGCTCCCTAATTCGATCTCAATGTCAATCTTCGAGGAACATGACACACAAACAAACTTGCGTAATGTCTAGGCCTTCAAACTTTCAGAAGCTTCTCTTCTCTTTTTTATTTCATTTCTTTGCTTCTCTTTCTTTCTCGTCGTCCCTTGATCAGCAGTTGACTCTCAAGCACAAACGGAACAATTTGATATAAATTGGTCAAAACAGTCATTCAGTACTTTAGGCTTTTCGGATTGAAATTTTGTTGCCGGCTATGCTAGACATAGGCCAGGCTTTCTAGAACAGCGAAACGAGCAAATGGTCAGATTTGTAAGATCACATAGCAGCGGAAGACGTGACACGGCATTTGTTAGAATAAAGTTCTGCAGGCGCTAAACAAATGTATGTGGTGTATGGGTGGGTGTATCATGTTTCCAGACAGAAAAGACATTAAGAATTCGTAGAGATCTCCTGGAGAGCTTCTTGCAATTGAAATGCATTGCGCGAAAAGCTACACACAAGTACACAAGATGCCGGACTTGGCAACAAGGAAAACATATAATACGGAGATGGCGACGATGCCTAGTTTTGTCTTTGTTCTTCGAGAAGATGAGATGAAATTCATCTGTGGGGAGGACTACGTTGTCAAACCGCGTAATGCAAACTACAGAAATGTTGACGGGATGAAATCATGGAAATCCAAGCGAAGGAGTTGCTCTCTCTCTCTGATCTTTTCTTGGGACCAGATAAAAATCACTGCTTTCGAATTGCTTTTGGCAGTGTGAACTTGTGTAACTGCTGGTGTGCTGGAATTTACCCCACGTCATGCCTTTTGGAAATTCTTACCCCCACGTCATGTTTTTGCCCGAGTTACCAGTTACAAGACAAAAATCCACAAGGAACCTGAAAGAGGTGAATTCTTTTTTGACAGTGGTGTAAACTCACAATCTACAAATAATTTGAGGAAAAGATAAACAAACAACGAAGAAGAAGAAGAAGAAAAAGGAAAGAAGAATGAGAGACATGGACAAGCAAAAACTCTTTCAAGTTTAAAGCAAGGGGGTGAAGCGAGAAAAATCCCATCTTTTTTAACATTCTAGTAAAGTAGGGCCACTTTGGTTTCCGAGAATGCTATCATGGCTGTAGCTCTCGAGTGTAGTCTTTGGAACAACTGTGGCAAGGAGAGCAAAGGTTTTCGTGTCTAGAGCTAGGAATTTTTGCTGGAGTTTGTGATCGATGATCATCTCGAGTTTGATTTCCCAAAGAAATATAGGAAGAATCTTTTGCCACCATTTTTTTTTCGAGGAGGCCGAGTCCACGCCCACGAATTAAATAAGGAAAGAGCGCGGTGGTCTCTCTATCCCTCGAGAGACGAATTCGATCAATCTCTCCTCGTGGGGGAGAGAAAAGAAAGGCAAAAAAGATGGACTACCACCAGGTGTCTCTGCCCCCAATCCAGCTCCAGATCAACGATTTCAATCAGCCGAAAGAGGGCGAGTATCACCAACTCGTGGAGCTGACGCTGGATGTGAGGAAGGATTCAGTGACCCTCCGCAGCATCGCACCGGTTCCAGCGCAGAGCGCCCAAGCGGCTGATCCTCACGGCAATACTCTGCTGCTCGACACGCGATCCAATTCCAATTCCAAGAGGGCATCGCCACAGGCGACGGCAGCGCTGATCAAGAGCGCGTCCGCCAAGCTCAGCAAATTCACAGGAGATGTGTGGAGCCATGTCCGGCAATTGTCGTCGCGGTCGGGGAAGAAGGCCAAGGATCAGGAGGTGGTGGCGCCGAGCAGCCGTGGCGCGGACATCCGCAGGCTGGCGAGATCCAAATCGGGGGCCGAGCACGCATTGCAGGGGCTGCGATTCATCAGCAAGAGCAACAACCAGAAGCTGGCGTGGGAATTGGTGTCACGGCGATTCGACAAGCTCGCCAGCGAAGAGGGCTTCATCGACAAATCGGATTTTGGGCTGTGCATTGGTAGTGTTTCCCTTTCCAAGATCTTTCTCTTTCTCTCTCTCTCTCCTTTAGCCATGAGAAAAGATCCAAGCAACACTTTCCTACCGTTTGGTTTTGATCGCTCGAAGGAACACCACTGATCTGCTTGGCCTCTGATCGACAGGAATGGAGGATTCCAACGAATTTGCCGCGGAGCTCTTCGATGCTCTGGCACGGAGGCGAGGGCTCAAGCAGCTCAGGAAGCTGTCGAAGAGGGACATGTACGATTTCTGGTTGCAAATCTCTGATCAGAGCTTCGATGCGAGGATGCAGATCTTCTTCGACATGTAAGTCAGCCCCGCTCGTAATCATGTAATTAGCAGCTGATCCGCCGCCTCATAGGTGTGACAAGAACCTCGATGGACGGATTTCAGAGAGGGAGGTGAAAGAGGTATGCATTTTTACAAACCTTTTGAAACTTCAAAAAGTTTCCAGATTTTGTTTCTTTCTCCTCTTTTTCTGTTTGTGAGAGGAAGAAGCATATCCAGAAGAGAATTGCTGAACACTTGCAATGGTGGCAGGTGATAATGCTGAGTGCGTCCGCCAACCGGCTGTCGAAACTCAAGGAGCAGGCCGAGGAATATGCCGCGCTCATCATGGAAGAACTGGATCCGGAAAACCTGGGCTACATCGAGGTAGGAAATGAAGATTTAGACGTGGGAACAGAAAAGAAAGCAAAGAAGAAGCTTCGGATGGGAATCTAAAGTGTTCCAATCCGTCACAAGTATCTCAACGTTTTTTCTGACACCACCTTTTTGGTGCTTTTGGTTTGCATTGCATGGTTTGCAGCTATGGCAACTAGAGACGCTGCTGATGCGAGGACCACACCCCAAGGATCACAGCAGCCAGCAGGCGAGCCAGATCATCACGAGCACGAAAGCACCAGGCATCTCACGCCGATTGCAGAGATTCCTGAGGAACTCGCGGCATTCTTTGGGTGATAACTGGAGGCGAATGTGGGTGGTGTCGCTGTGGATTATGGCCATGGCCGGGCTCTTCAGCTGGAAGTTTGTGCAGTACAAGAACAAGGCGGCGTTCCAAGTCATGGGCTACTGCGTTTGCACCGCCAAGGGTGCTGCCGAGACGCTCAAGCTCAACATGGCTTTGATCCTCTTCCCGGTTTGCAGGAAGACGATCACCTGGCTTCGATCGACTTGGCTCGGGAATCTTGTTCCTTTTGACGATGATATCAACTTCCACAAGGTAAGATCACCTTCGAGAAAGTTGTATACCAACTTGGCCATCAACGTTTTTGTATACTTTGCAGATCATTGCTCTAGGGATTGTTGTGGGGGTTTTCATCCACGCAGGAACTCACCTGGCTTGCGATTTCGTTAGGATTGTCAACTATCCTGACCAGGAGTTTGTAAGGATGATCGGGAAAGGATTCCACAACAAGAAACCAACTTATGTGGACATTCTTCGATCGGTGGAAGGGGTGACGGGAATTATGATGGTAGTATTGATGGTCATCGCCTTCACTCTCGCGTCGAGATGGTTCCGGAGAGATCTCATCAAACTTCCCTGGCCTCTCAAGAACATGACCGGTTTCAATGCGTTTTGGTACTCGCATCACCTCCTCATCGTCGTTTACATCCTCCTCCTCGTCCATTCCTTCTTCCTCTTCCTTACTTACAAGTGGCACGAAAAAAATGTAAGACAAAACTCCTTTTTATCTTTTTCAAAGCAGAATTTTGAATTGCAGACATGGATGTATTTGGCTGTGCCCCTACTGCTGTATGCTGGAGAGCGAGTGTATCGAGCTTGCAGGGCCAATTACACTGTACAAATCATCAAGGTAAGCAAGGTTTTTGGAAAGATTTGGGCTTTTTCTTATGATAGTCGAAAAGGCTGCGATATACCCCGGAAATGTGCTAGCTTTACACATGAGCAAGCCTCCTGGATTCACTTACCACAGTGGAATGTATCTCTTCCTCAAGTGCGCTGAAGTCTCGCCCTTCGAATGGTATGATGCAAATTATGGTTCTTGCCTTTGGAGCTTATATTTTTTTCCACAGGCATCCCTTCTCCATAACCTCCGCTCCAGGAGAGGATTTCCTGAGCGTTCACATCAGAACTTTGGGCGACTGGACGCAAAAGATGAGAAAGCTCTTCTCTGAGGTACAATTTGTTTCCAATCATATGGTTTGCTAACGTTCTTATTTGATCATTTTATTCTTGTTACAAAGGTTTGCGAGCCATCCACAGACAACAAGAGCAGATTGCTAAGGGAGGAACGAACCACGGAAGAGATCCCAACCTCGCGAGGCAAATTCCCAAAGCTGGTGATTGACGGCCCGTATGGAGGTCCTTCGCAAGACTATAGAAAGTACGATGTTCTTCTCCTCATTGGACTGGGAATCGGTGCCACTCCTTTTATCAGCATTCTCAAAGACATGCTCAACCAGCGCAAGATGGCCGACCAGCTCCAAGTAAGTGCGCTCAAGCCTCTTCAAACGATCTCTCGTGAGTAACAAAGGCTAGGCTCGATCGATTGTGCTTGCAGGATTTATCATTCTCGATTGATATGAGCAAGTCATTTGGATCTCCCAACGGAGCACTAGCGCTGGAGAGCCCCAGGAGACACTCGCTCGAAAGCCCACGTAGACGCAAGCGGAAGTGTCCCACAAACGCGTATTTCTACTGGGTGACGCGGGAGCAGGGATCGTTCGAGTGGTTTAAAGGTGTCATGAATGAAGTTGCGGAAATCGATCACAAGGTAAAACCTCTCTATGTTCCTCCAAAGTTTGGATTATCAATCTTTTGTTTATCAGGCCGTGATTGAGATGCACAACTATCTCACGAGTGTTTATGAGGAGGGTGACGCGAGGTCTGCTCTCATTGCAATGGTTCAAGCTTTGCACCATGCAAAAAACGGAGTTGACATTGTTTCTGGAACTCGGGTATGAATTCTGGGTATTTTCTTATGGTTTTTCTGAGTAATAATATCAATCGTATATAAACTTCCAGGTACGCACACATTTTGCTCGTCCAAACTGGAGCAAAGTTTTCTCAAACCTTTCAACGACGCATGCTAACTCCACAATTGGTCAGTCAAATTGGTTTTCACTTTCCATATAACTTTTTGATATTCGCAGGTGTTTTTTACTGCGGGCCGGCGCTCCTAGCAAAAGAGCTACGCACACTTTCACAGGAATACACACAGCAATCAAGCTGCAGGTTTGAGTTTCACAAAGAAAACTTCTAGACGAGATCGAAGCAAAAAATTTTAGGCGAGAGAGATTTTATGTACATAATTGTCTAACCATTTGCGGCACAGGCGAAAGCAAATCGCCTGCTACAAAGAGAGAAAGAAAAAGAAAAGAAAATTAAAAACAAATAATAGAAAACTATAGAGAAAGTTTAATCTATTACCTGATAAAAGAAACGATGATCAGGTGCCAGTTTGTAGCGAGCTACTCCACGAATCCATGCCCGGAGTTCTCAAAACCGGCGAGTTTGCGCCGCTTGGAGGAGGAGGAGGCAAGTCTCCCACCTCCAAGTCGCCTTCGAGCATGGCAAGAGCGTTTCCGATGGACGGTCTCTTCGCGGGATCCTCTTGAATGCACCATAGCCCGATCTTCGCAAATCTCTCCGCGACGCTCAGGTCCACTTCCAGGTCCCTGTCCACCAGCGTCGCCACATCTCCACTGTGGAAGAGCCTCGCCGCGGTGTGACCGAGAATGAAGACCCCTTGCGATGAGGCCGACGATGAAGCCCCCGAGGTGGAAGCCACGCTCGAGGAGTGCTTCTGGATCTCCAAGCTCTTCCGCGAGCTTAGCAGCTCCAGCAGCACGATCCCAAAGCTGTAAACGTCGGTCCTGTCCGTCACCTTTGTGTGGAGCCACTCTGGAGCCATGTATCCCGGCGTGCCTCTCATGGCCGTCACTGCGTAGCTCTTCCCCCTCTCCGCGAGCTTCGAGAGGCCAAAGTCTGCGATCCTCGCTCTCAGGTTCTCGTCCAGCAAGATGTTCTGCGGCTTGATATCCAAGTGAAGCACCTGTTCTCTACAGCCTTCGTGAAGATATGCCAGGCCTCTAGCAACGTCCACCGCAACTTGGTGCCTCTGGCTCCAATCTAGAAACCGCGAGTCCTTTGGAAAGATCCATTTGTCCAGAGCACCGTTGCTCATGTACTCGTAAACCAGCAGAGAAGAAGGCCCGTGTATGCAAAAGCCTCTCAACTGGACGAGGTTGTAGTGACGGATGCTTCCGATTGACAAAACTTCCGCTTTGAACTGCTGCTGCCCTTCGTTGGATCCCTCAATCTCCACGTCCATTCTCTTCACAGCCACTGTCGTTCCATCTGAAAGGTTGCCTTTGAAAACCATGCCAAATCCTCCCTCTCCAAGCATCGACTTTTTCGCAAAGTTCCTTGTGGCCTTCTGTAAGCAATGGTAGCTGAATTGCTTGGGAAGACCAACTAGCGTACTGATCTCCTCAACCTGTTCTTGGTTCCTTCTTCTGAGAGCCAACCTCGCCTTGATCTTGATCCAATAAAATCCCACTGGAACCATTGCAAAGAGCACGAATCCCACCACAGCACTTGCAGCGATAGCCCCAGTGTTTTTCTTCTTGGATCCTCCTCCTCCTCCTCCTCCAGAGGCACTCACTGACGCATTCGTTTTGCTCCAGCTTACATCCCTGAGAATTCCATCCCCTGGATCGTATCCAAGAGCGCTCCACACCCCGGGAGTTCCAGCGATGGCGTTGGGAGCACACGGCTCCCAGTACGCAGTGCCGGCAGTGCATCCAGCTTTGGACGAGCACTCGTCCACGATCTTGGCCACGACGCTGCGATTGTTTGGTGCAGTGATGTTGATATTGGTGAGGCAAATGCTGAAGTTGCGCTGGATCCATCCGGAAGAGAGCGATACCACTTGATCCTGGATGGAAAAGATTTGATCCGTGCAGGACAGATTCTCGTTAAAAGTCGTGGAGTAGAGCACGGCCCGGTTGACGATCTGGAGTGGCGGCGAGCACGCATAGAAGCGATAGGCCAGGCCGGGAACGCAGCACTCGGGGCACATCTGCGTGCCATTGTAGATCAGAGTGGAGCTGGGGGCGCAGATGTTACAAGCGCCGGCGGATGAATCGTCGAGGCAAGATCCAGCGCGAAGCGATCGGTTGCCGGAGCGCATCGTATCGGGGTAGCAGGCCGAGCCATTGGAGCACTGACCTGGCTTCGTGCAGCGAGGCGCCAAGGCGCATTTCTCCTCATCCTTGCCCTGGATCGTTTGCCCTAATGTATGAGGAACCACTAAGGCAAACAACATTACTAGTAGCATTTTTAAAAACCCGCAAGAGGGGGAGAGTTTGTAATCGATTGGAACGTTTCTACCCAGAGCATACTCCAACACGAACTAAATCTCTGGCGATCGATCGATCCCAATGTCAAATTCAACTCTAGACTTTCGCGGCGAGAAGATGCTCGCAAAGTCTGACTAAACCACCGCGATCTTTAAGAACCAGTCCCCCAGGTTGTCAGGAGATCGATCGCTTTTTCCGCAAATCTCTCCAACTCTACAATGCCCAATTCTATCCCAGTTCTTCTCGCCACGATCACGCTGTTCTTCGCGGCCGGGAATCCCCAATCCACGAGCAGCGCCTGCGGCAAGCCCTGCGCGAGCGTCAACGACTGCCCGGCCATGATGATCTGCGATCCCTACGGCCAATGCAACAGCGATCCCTCCAACACCCACATCTCCGTTTGCCCAGTCGCCCCGGGCTGCAATCCCGCCCAATCATTCGTCTACACCGCTCCTACCATCGACGAAGATCACTGCGCCACAAACACCACATACTATCTCTACGATTGCTCGCCGCCAGTGTCGCGCCGCCGCCCCAACCCCGCCATTCTCTACTACATCGAGCTCGATAATGGCTCGAGGTGCGAGGAGAAGAAATACCAGCCGTCCGATCTCGTGGCATCCATGGCCACCGGATGGTATAACTATCAACGGCCAGGAGGCGCTTGCGGTAGAAACGTAACCATCACGGCCCTCAACGGCCGTACCGTGACGGCCATGGTTGTGGATGAGTGCACGGCCATGGCTGGCTGTACGGCAGCCACTAGCTTCTATCCACCGTGCTCTCCAAAGAGCCTGGGCGCCACGCAGGGCGTTTGGGAGGCCCTGGGATACAAAATCTCGGAAGGGATCATCGATATAACATGGGAGTTTGAGCGCGCGGGAAAGAGGCCGCGTTTGAAACGGACGGTTGCGATCGCGTCCTCCGTGGCGGCAGCGACGGCTGGGATTGTTCTAGGGTTTGTTCTTGGGGTTTTCGCGTGGCGGGCAGCGCGGTCCCGGGCTAGGGATTGCGAGAAGGAGAGCGAGCTCGGGGGAATGCTGCCGGAGCGATTCAGGCATCGGAAGCTCTGTGCCGCGACTGGGGATTTCGGCGTGGGATCGAAGCTGGGACAGGGCGGATCGGGGTCTGTCTTCAAGGGTGTTCTTCCGGATGGGAGATTGGTGGCTGTCAAGCGGATCGGGGGCTCTGGCAAGCAATTCCGGGCGGAGGTGATGGCCGTGGGGAGGATTCACCACTTGAATCTCGTGAGGCTGCTGGGGTTTTGCATCAAGAGCCCGCTCCACTTCCTGGTGTACGAATTCATGCCAAACGGGTCGCTGGATTCGTGGATTTTTGGCAAGGGGAGGTACTTGGATTGGAGCAGCAGGGTCTCGATCGCCATGGATGTCGCTCGCGGGCTGGCCTATCTCCACGATTCATGCCGCGAGAAGATCTTCCATCTGGATATCAAGCCTCAGAACATTCTTTTGGATGGAAAGATGCGTGCCAAGATTTCCGATTTTGGATTCGCCAAGATTGTCGACAAGGACAAGAGCCAAACGATCACGGTGATGCGAGGAACTCAGGGCTACATGGCGCCCGAGTGGCTCCATTCCACGATCACAGACAAGACAGACGTCTACAGCTATGGTGTGGTGTTGATCGAGCTGGTTTGCTGCCGGAGGAGAATGGAAGAGCTAGATCAGGCAATCGAGGGCGGTGAGGAAGAAACCAATTACCTGGCTGGAGTGGAGGATGTTGAGATCCAAGCCGATTGCCACAACAGCCTGATCGATCCAAGGCTGAGGAGCGATCCCAGTTTTGTGGAGGTGGAATGCCAGAAAATTCTGGAGATTGCTGTGTCGTGTACACAAGAGGAACCTTGGTTGAGACCGTCCATGGGACAGGTGGTAAAGCAGCTGGAAACTCTTGCGGAGCTAGAGACCACCACTTTACCCAGAGGATTCTCTGTTAACTTGCCAACCTCTCCCATCCAAGCCCGATGATACACAAAGCAAACATAAGGCGAAAAAGTTAATTATTAATTGCCTATATTATAAAATATAATTCTATGATAAATATGAAACTAAAATTATTTTATAGCTTGTTTTTATAAAAGGTAATTGTTTTAATAATCCCTTTATTTTTGGTTTGCTTAAACAAACCTATAAGGGGATGGTAGTGAATATACCTAAAATATGCTTAGATATTCTTCATTTCTTGTATTTATAATTTATAAAATTTCTTAAACCCTTTTTAGTATATTCTTTTTTATTCTACCATCTAATAGTTGATATGCAATAAGATTAATCTTGTGTTTATAAATTATAAACATGCTTATAATTATAAGCTTTATTTGATCAATTGGATTAATACGTAGGAATAACATTATTATTAAGCAAACCAAGCATTGCTACATGCAACACATAGTAAATTATTTCTAATTAAGCTTAAAAATTTACTTTCATATAGAATGATTATTAAAAAGTTTAAAATTAAATTTATGATTCATTTCAATCTTTCCTTATTACTTTTAAAACTTTTAGCTTATGTTTTAATTATATTACTCCACATAAATTATGGTTTGTCATATTTCATAATTTTTTTTCAATTTTTAATAATATGATTAATCATGGTGATAACTTACAAACTTTCCTTATTTCTTTGTCTAAAAGATCCTGGATATTTTATTAGTCCTGCTCACTTCATTTTGCAATTAATGCTTACAATCTTCTTTTGTAATTGAAGCTCATAGTGGTGTTGGACCACTACCTAGGTTAGCATTATTTATGGATAATATTCAATAGTATTTATAAGTAGCATTTAATAGTTTATGAATTCAGAGTTGCTTAAAAGGTTTCTTGATATTTAGATTTCTAGGGAGGTCACCTAACATAGTAGTACTCAAACCTAAAAACATTTAATCCCAAATATCCCAAAACTTTTAACTGATTGGAAAAATATATACATTTTTATTTATGGGCCTTTCTTTTTTTAATATTTAAACCTTTATGGATCATTTTTCAATTGTTTTCTTTGGTTGCTTATACCAACCTTAATATTTTTAACCACACCTAAATTGCTAATATAATATAAGGCTCATCTAGAATTTGCTAAATACATCAATAAACACGTGTTCCTCAAGTCTAGTAATATGGAGGATGATTAGCTTATTTGAGGCCAAGGACTGAAGCTTATTAATTATCAAATCAATGGACACTATAAAAGTTGAATCCATAAACACTATAAAATGAATGTTATTAAAGAAAGATAGTATTTTATGATTACTCTAAAATTTCTAATGGGCAAATAAAAACCTTATATTATTTTTTTGATGGATTATGTAAGAAGAAGAATTTTACTACAGAACAAAAGAATATGGTGTTAAATTTATGTTCCTAAAACCAAAAAGTGTCACATGCTTAGCTATTTACTCAAATACTTCTTGTGTTTACTATACTTTGCATGTGTTAAAAACTCTTACTAATCTATGTGCTCCATTAATTAAAGCTTTTTCTGTTATTTTTTAGTTTCTCAGTTTCTAAGGCAATTTTATGATTAGATTGCCTTCCTGACATTCTCATCCATAAAAAAAATTATTAATTCTATATTTTCGGATCAAAATATATAGCTATGATGCAATATATTAATAATAACATAGTAGGATTTTAATAGACCTCATATTTATTTTAATCCGGACCACTCACTCTTGTATATAAAGTAGAGTTTTTGGGCTACACATTTCTTTATTCCATTTTTAAATTCCATACACTCATATAGATGAAAGTGAGAGACAATTTATATTATCTTTGAAGAATACATTGATTTGTGCTTTTTTTTAAAATTTAACTTTGTATTATTTAGATCCCAAACATTGATATACTGATAATTGTAACAATACATTCTAGAAAATGCATCATTTCTATCAAGGGATGTTTGAGTTAATTATGTAATTTAGTGTTTGTTTCTGGTTTGAACTTGAGCTCCAATTATTGCATGTGGTGCTAAATTAAACTTTTGACCGTATAGATTAATTGTAGCACAATCATGTTAAATGTGATTTTCCTTTTTATTTTATATTCTTTTATATTTTTTCTATTCCTTTCACTTTTGTTCCACTTTTTGCTTTATCACTTTTATCTCTCTATTATTTTTATTGTGTTTCCTTTTTGTTCTTTTATTCCTTCTCTAGATCCTTTATACAATCTTTATATTATGGTAGCAATATACTTATCTCTTTAACTTTGACTTGTCATCTGAAACAAAGATTGCAATGCATCATTCTATACCAACTAGGGATGCTAGTCCAATCAAAATTTCTATTTGGCATCAATCGCTAAAGAAGAATAGAATTTTATGAGCAAATGTTTAAATAATGTTAAGAAAAGTCTTATATGGAAATCTCGAAGTCCTTGGGTATGTTAACTTCATTTTGTGATAAAGCCTAATGGAATTATTCGCTTCTACATCAATTATTATCCATTTAAAGATATAACAATCTCAAATATGTACATTTTTCCCCACTCTAATAAGCTTTTAGATCGTTTAGGGTGAAATTGTTAATTCACCAAATTGGAATTGAATTTGAGTACTAGAAAGTGTCAATAGCCAAGGAGGATATTCCCAAGACTATTTATAATACATCATTTTGTCTGTACGAGTTTTTGATGATGTAAACAATGCTTTTAACTTTTCAACAAATGATGAATGAGGTTCTTTGCAATATGCTAACTTCAGCAATGATATTCTAATCCACTCTAAAAGGATGTGAGAAGAGCATGTTCATAATGTTCATAAAGTGTTGAATTAATTGTGAGAAGTTTGTTTAAGCTAAAGTGATCAAAGTGCATATATTGGTTTAAAAATATAATTTGGGTGTCAAATTTCTCTTGAAGGTTTGCAAGTTGATCTTAACAAATTTGTGGTTGTTTAAAAATTCTTTATTCAAAAGTATGTGAATAATGGTGTAACACTTCTTCGGCAATGAGCAATATCTTGGTCATTTTAATGCTCATTTTTTTTATCATACTGCATTATTACGAGTGTTGCTGAGGTTGTCTATATCATTTTTCAGTTGATCTGAGAATTGTGAGTGGGCATTTACAGATTTTAAAAAGGTGTTGACAACTCCTTTAATTTTGGTGTATCTTGATTGTACTTGATCTTTCATCTTGCAAATGGACGCTTCTAAAAATCATCTTGGAGGTGTGTTGGATGCAAGAGAGCATAAATATACCTAGTCAATTGTAGCGCACGTGGTTTTTACCCTTTATCCTATGGTGATTTACCATAGGATAACACCACGAAGCAGAACCTAAACCCTCTTTATGCCACATGACACATGCCACGTGTCATATGCCATGTGTCCAAATGACAGTGGTGTAGAACTCAAGGTTCAAGGCCTTGGGCCACTGAACAAAGGAACGGTGCCAAACTCCCAAACATGGAGCCAAGGAGTGATAGAAATGGATCACGGAGCAACTTTCGAGCATATAGCCCAAGGAGCAAAGGGACAAGAGCCCAGAGCAACTTGGAATAGTCCTAGAGCAATCAGCATCTCAATGCCAGGACCAGCATGCAAAACGAAGCCAAATGGAGTTTGGTGCTATTTCGGCATACCAGTGGTCTAATGTGAGGATATGGGTACTCCACCAGTTAGCATGGAATGGAACTTGGGCTTAAACCTGTAAGCTCCTGAGTTTGGACTTCCTGGGAGGTCACCCAGCCCAGTACTATTCAAACCCAAGGACGCTTAACTCCAACTATCCCAAGACCCTTAACCGATAGGAAAAGGGGGTGCACTTTTATTCATGGGCCCTTTCCCTCTATATTTGAACCCCATGGATCGTCTCTCAAGTCGTTCCCTTTGACTATCCCAAGACCCTTAACCGATAGGAAAATCGTTCCCTTTGACTATCCCAAGACCCTTAACCGATAGGAAAAGGGGGTGCACTCTTATTCATGGGCCCTTTCCCTCTATATTTGAACCCCATGGATCGTCTCTCAAGTCGTTCCCTTTGGTTGCTTACAATCCACCACGCTTCCTTGCAAGTTCACACCCTCGTGAACGGAAGCTGAGAGCCGCAGCTCTCCCGAGAGCCTCGCTCTCTTGACACCCTACCCCTTGGGTCGAGCCCAGCGGGAGCAAACTGGACCAGCCAGATGTCAATCAACATGTGGTGTGATTCCCCGCGGGAGCAAACTGGACCAGCCAGATGTCAATCAACATGTGGTGTGATTCCCCTAGCCAACCAACAGAGTCGAACTCGAGACCCCTCTGATACCAAATGTAAGCTCCTGAGTTTGGACTTCCCGGGAGGTCACCCAGCCCAGTACTATTCAAACCCAAGGACGCTTAACTCTAACTATCCCAAGACCCTTAACCGATAGGAAAAGGGGGTGCACTCTTATTCATGGGCCCTTTCCCTCTATATTTGAACCCCATGGATCGTCTCTCAAGTTGTTCCCTTTGGTTGCTTACAAAACCCAAGCCAGACATAGAACAAAGATAGGCACCCAAGCGGGAGCTAGACTATGCCTTAGGTTAGTCGGCCATACCCGACCTACCCACTATCTCTACTATACATTTGGAAACCCCCCCCCCTTTCGAGGAACACATGCTTTGGGCTTTCACCCCAAACCTCCCTTAGTATCAGGAGTTAGTCTCTGGGACATAGTCAAAACTTACTAAATATGGAATGGTGTTAGATTGCGAATTTGGACATGAGACGAACACCATTGTGTTTAGGACAATCTCTACATTTTGTAGATATGCCAAATGAGCAAATTTAGACACTTTCTATAAATAGCATTTGGGACCGAAACGAGACTAACACAAAAGGCATGATAGCAAAGGTGTTTGGTAAACACGATAAGCTATCATCCAACAATATTAAGGGATTAATCTCAATATACGAGAGTTTTTATCACTAGCCAGTGTAAGACATAACGAGACAGGAACTCCTTACCGGGCTAAATATGCTTAGCTAATAACACGTAGGAAGTTTGTCCTTATGCTCGTCCGGTCTAAGTATACTTGAAATGCCCAGTTAACTCCACTAGCACAAGAGGGATTGATAAAGGGT